TCTGGTCTCTCTCTGGTCTCTCTCAAGCCTCTCTCTGGTCTCTCTCTGGTCGCTCTCTCTCTACCCTCTCTCTGGTCTCTCTCTGGTCTCTCTCTAGCCTCTCTCTGGTCTCTCTCTGGTCTCTCTCTGGGAGGACACATGCCCATGACAGTTGTAAAGTTCGTTATGAAAGGTCTTATTTAAATATCAATCACTTACTTTGATTTTAGTCATAGTCATAATATTTGTAGTCAGTTATGTGAACATCCTCAGACAAGCACGCTGTCTGTCTCTGTCTCTCTCTCCGTCTCTGTCTCTCTCTCTCTGTCTGTCTGTCTCTGTCTCTCTCTGTCTCTGTCTCTTTGTCTGTCTGTCTCTGTCGCTGTCTGTCGCTGTCTCTCTCTCTGTCTGTCTCTGTCTCTGTCTATCTCTCTCTGTCTGTCTGTCTCTGTCTCTCTCTTTCTCTGTCTCTCTCTGTCTGTCTCTGTCTCTGTCTCTCTCTCTCTGTCTATCTGTCTCTGTCTCTCTCTTTCTCTGTCTCTCTCTGTCTGTCTTTGTCTCTGTCTCTGTCTCTCTCTCCGTCTCTTTCTGTCTCTCTCTGTCTCTGTCTCTCTCTCTGTCTGTCTCTGTGTGTCTCTCTCTCTGTCTGTCTGCTCAGTTTAAACTTGTCTGTGTCCCAGCGCTGGAGGACACTCTGAGACCTGTCTGAGAGTGTTTAATTGTGTCATCTGAGCTCAGTGTGGAGAGCTGCAGTTCTGTGTACTCGTCGTACTGTGTGACAGTGTGCTTCCGCAACAACACAGGCAAAGAAAGGAGAGCTCTAAACAACGTGCTCTGCTCTGAAAGAGGACTGTGAGCTGTGAGACCAAAGAGAGAGACCATGGGAGAGACCAGAGAGAGACCAGAGAGAGACCAGAGAGAGACCAGAGAGAGACCAGAGAGGGACCAGAGAAAGACCAGAGAGAGACCAGAGAGAGAGAGACCAGGGAGAGACCAGAGAGACCAGAGAGAGAGAAACCAGGGAGAGAGCAGAGAGAGACCATAGATAGACCAGAGAGAGACCAGAGAGACCAGAGAGAGAGAGACCAGGGAGAGAGCAGAGAGAGAGAGAGAGACCAGAGAGAGACCAGAGAGACCAGAGAGAGAGAGACCAGGGAGAGAGCAGAGAGAGAGAGAGAAAGAGACCAGAGAGAGACCAGAGAGACCAGAGAGAGACCAGAGAGACCAGAGAGAGAGACCAGGGAGAGAGCAGAGTGAGAGAGGTCAGAGAGAGACCAGAGAGAGACTAGAAAGAGGTGCTCTGTGAGTCTGTTCTGGAGGTTCTTTATGAATCCAGATCTTAGAATAACATATGATTCTTCTGGTCCCTGAAAAAGCCATGTTCCAGCTTCTTCCCTCTGGCAGAAGAACATGCTAACGGCTTCTTTCATCTGTTCTCAGTCCGAACAAAGCACTTTAATGATCTTTAACTTGTATGAAACTGTTTTTGTCCAGAGGTGCACACACACAAACACATGATGAACATAACCCTCTGTAGAGCATTGGCCTTTCAGCCTGAAGGACATGGGTTCGAGCCTTTCTTCACTGACTCCTGCTGATGTCTGCTATCTTTGTGTCATTGGGAAAGACACTTGACGCTACTATGCCTATTTGCGACTGTACCTGCAGGTGAAAGCCAGATCCCGCCTGACCTGTGAATCTCAGCAGGGCAGGGCCTGGTTAATGCTGTGATGGGAGACCACTGAACAGCAGGTGCCACAGTGGGGCGGCTGCGGCTGTAAATCAGAATCAGAATCACAATCATTTTTATTGCCACGTAAGTAACAGGAGGTCACAGACTCTGCAACAGTCAGAAAGAGATAATAAAAATAAGAATAAAAAACACTTCTAAAGAATAAATTTAAATTTAAAATAGAGTTACAGTTACTATTTACAATATACAAGTGCACATGGTGCACACAATGTAAGGTGACAGCAGTACAGTGAAGTAAAGTGACGTATGATGGGCAGTAAAGTGACTTTATAAAGGGCAGTAAAGTGACTTTATAAAGGGCGGGGGGACAGGTTAAGAAATGTTCAAGAGTCCAACAGCAGAGGGGAAGAAACTGTTCTTGTGGCGGGAGGTTCTAGTCCTGATGAACCGCAGCCTCCTGCCTGAGGGGAGTGGTTGGAATAGTCCATGTGCAGGGTGAGAGGGGTCGGCTGTGATACGACCAGCCCGGCCTCGAGCTCGGGCGACGTACAGGTCCTGCAGCGATGGAAGGCTGCGGCCGATCACTTCCTCTGCAGAGCGCACAATGCGCTGTAGTCTCTGTTTGTCCCTGACTGTGGCTCCAGCGAACCACACGGTGATGGAGGAGGTGATGGAGGAGGTGATGGAGGAGGTGATGGAGGAGGTGAGGATGGACTCGATGATGGCCGTGTAGAACTGCACCAACATCTGTGCAGGCAGCTTGGCTTTCCTGAGCTGCCGCAGGAAGTACATCCTCTGCTGGGCCTTCTTGATGAGGGAGCTGATGGTCGGCTCCCACTTGAGGTCCTGGGTGATGGTGGTGCCCAGGAAACGGAAGGACTCCACAGAGGTGATGGGGGAGTCCATCACGGAGGGTGGGGGCGGGGGGACAGTGCTCTTCCTGAAGTCCACAATCATCTCCACTGTCTTCTGGGCGTTCAGCACCAGGTTGTTACCACTGCACCAGGACACCAGCCAGTCCACCTCCCTCCTGTAGGCGGACTCATCGTTGTTGGAGATGAGTCCAATGAGGGTGGTGTCGTCCGCGAACTTGATCAGCTTCACGGAGTTGTGGCTGGAGGTGCAGTGGTTGGTGTTCAGGGAGAAGAGCAGGGGAGAGAGAACACAGCCCTGTGGGGCTCCTGTATTTATAATCCCAGAGTCCGAGACATTCTTCCCCAGACGCACTCGCTGCTTCCTGTCTGTCAGGAAGTCAGTGATCCACCTGCAGGTGGAATCGGGCACGTTGAGCTGGGAGAGCTTGTCCTGGAGCAGGGATGGCAGGATTGTGTTGAAGGCAGAGCTGAAGTCCACGAACAGGACCCTGGCGTAGGTCCCCGGGGAGTCCAGGTGCTGTAGGATGTGGTGGAGGGCCAGGTTAATGGCGTCGTCTGCAGATCTGTTGGCTCTGTAGGCGAACTGCAGGGGGTCCAGGAGGGGGGAGGTGAGGGACTTGAGATGGGAGAGGACCAGGCGTTCAAATGACTTCATGACGACAGACGTAAGTGCCACAGGTCTGTAGTCGTTGAGTCCTGTGATCCTGGGCTTCTTCGGGACGGGGACAATGATGGAGGATCTGAAGCAGGCCGGGACATGGCAGTTTAATCTCTTTAGAGGCTATTGTTAGGCTGGGGGCAGGGCTGATGGGTGGGTCGTTAGAGTAGTGGGGGGTGGGGGAGGGAGAGGTGTCAGGGGCAGCATCAAAGCGACTGAAAAATAAGTTCAGTTCGTCAGCTAGCTTTTGGTCGTCAACCCCGGGGGGGGCTTTGGGTTTGTAGTTGGTGATCTCCCGTAGGCCCCTCCAGACAGAAGCAGTATCGTTGTTACCAAACTGCTCCTGTAGTCGTTCTCTGTGCCGGGACTTGGCTGCTTTCAGTTCTTTCCTGAACTGATATTTAGCTGCTTTGTAGCCGCTGCGGTCCCTCTCCCTGAAAGCAGACTCCTTTGCTTTCCTGAGCTGCCGGAGTTTAGCAGTGAACCAGGGTTTGTCGTTGTTATAGATGACCCTGGTCCTTGTTGGAATGATGCTATCCTCACAGAAGTGAATGTATGACGTCACAGTGTCCGTATATTCATCCAAACTATCTGTGGCAGCTCTGAAAAGGTCCCAGTCTGTAGATTCCATGCATGCGCGCAGCTCTTCCACAGCTTCATCAGACCACACTTTGGAGCTCCTCACTGCAGGTTTCGAGAGCTTTAGTCTCTGTCTGTAAGCAGGGACCAGATGTATCATGGAGTGATCTGAGAAGCCGAGGGCTGGCTTGGGAACAGCGCGAAAAGCTCCGCGCACAGGGCCAAACTGTGGTTGTGTCCTTAGGCAAGACACTTCCCCCACATTAGAAGGAGTCTGGTGTGTGTGTGAATGGTTGGTGGTGGTGGGAGGGGCCTCGCTTCTGTCAGTGTGCCCCAGGGCAGCTTTGGTTACAGTAGTAGTTTATCACCACCGTGTTTGGAGAGAAAGAATAAGGATGAAGAGACTTTGAGTGTCCCAAAAAGAGCTGTATAAAACTGCAGAGTCCACCTCATATGTCCCGAGATGTGTTAAGTCTGGGACCCATGGTTTAGGGTCATGGTCTTGTTCCTCTGATGCAGGAGGCTCTGAGGACAGAGACGATCCAGGACGCTCCATATTCAACACATTTATAAACATCGGTCTCTGCTCCTTTTGGACCCATGTCTGTGTTTGTGTTTGATTCTCTGATCTGTGTTAGAGAATCGACAGCTTTGTGAGAGACCAGAGAAGGACCAGAGAGAGACCAGAGAGAGAACAGCGAGAGACCAGAGAGAGACCAGAGTGACCAGAGAGAGACCAGAGAGACCAGAAAGAGACCTGAGAGAGACCAGAGAGAGACACCAGAGAGAGACACCAGAGAGAGACCAGAGAGAGACCAGGGAGAGACCAGAGAGAGACCAAAGAGATAGACCATAGATAGACCAGAGAGAGACCAGAGAGACCAGAGAAAGACCAGGGCGAGACCAGAGAGAGACCAGAGAAACCAGAGAGAGACCAGAGAGACCAGAGAAAGACCAGGGCGAGACCAGAGAGAGACCAGAGAAACCAGAGAAAGACCAGGGAGAGACCAGAGAGAGACCAGAGAGATACCAGAGAGACCCGAGAGAGATACCCGAGAGAGACAAGCGAGAGACCAGAGAGATAGACCAGAGAGACCAGAGAAAGACCAGAGAGACCAGAGAGAGACCCCTCGGGAATCAACGTCTTTGTAAAGTCCTCAGTGTTAACTACTCTTGTGATTTAGTGTGCTACATAAATAACCTTGGCGTGTTGCAGGCGGCCTCTTCATCCGGAACACGGACCAGGAGTACACTGCCTTCAGACTCGCCATCTTCCTGCACAACACCAGCCCCAACGCCTCTGACGCCCCCTTCAACCTGGTGCCACACGTGGACAACATCGAGACGGCCAACAGCTTCGCCGTGACCAACGCCTGTGAGTCCCTGTGTGTGTCTGTGTGTGCGTGTGTGTGTGTGTGTGTCTGTGTGTGTGTCATCTTCTGCGATGTGTGTCTTTTTGCTGTGACTTTAACGTTGGGTCAGAATCTGGATTTGCTAGAGTTTCTCTCAGTCACAGAGTTGTCTCCATTTTAAGGTGTTTTTATGTTTGTAATTAGTGTTGCCACTCTCTGGTCTCTCTCCGGTCTCTCTCTGGTCTCTCTCTGGTCTCTCTGGTCTCTCTGGTCTTTCTCTGGTCTCTCTGGTCTCTCTCCGGTCTCTCTCTGGTCTCTCTATCTGGTCGCTCTCTGGTCTATCTCTGGTGTCTCCGGTCTCTCTGGTCTCTCTCCGGTATCTCTCCGGTCTCTTTCTGGTCTCTCTCTGGTCTCTGTGGTCTCTCCGGTCTCTCTCTGGTCTCTGTGGTCTCTGTGGTCTCTCTCTGGTCTCTCACTGGTCTCCGGTATCTCTCTGGTATAGCTCTGGTCTCTCTCCGGTATCTCTCTGGTCTCTCCCTGGTCTCTCTCTGGTCTCTCTCTGGTTTCTCTCTGGTCTCTCTCTGGTCTCTCCGGTCTCTCTCTGGTCTCTCTGGTCTCTCTCCGGTATCTCTCCGGTATCTCTCTGGTCTCTCTCTGGTCTCTGTGGTCTCTCCGGTCTCTCTCTGGTCTCTCTCTGGTCTCTCTCCGGTATCTCTCTGGTCTCTCTCTGGTCTCTCTCTGGTCTCTCTCTGGTCTCTCTCTGGTCTCTCTCTGGTCTCTCCCTGGTCTCTCTCTGGTCTCTCCGGTCTCTCTTTGGTCTCTCTCCGGTATCTCTCTGGTCTCTCTCTGGTCTCTCCGGTCTCTCTGTGGTCTCTCTCCGGTTTCTCTCCGGTATCTCTCTGGTCTCTCTCCGGTTTCTCTCCGGTATCTCTCTGGTCTCTCTCCGGTATCTCTCTGGTCTCTCTCTGGTCTCTCTCCGGTATCTCTCTGGTATCTCTCTGGTCTCTCTCCGGTTTCTCTCCGGTATCTCTCTGGTCTCTCTCCGGTATCTCTCTGGTCTCTCTCTGGTCTCTCTCCGGTATCTCTCTGGTATCTCTCTGGTCTCTCTCCGGTTTCTCTCCGGTATCTCTCTGGTCTCTCTCCGGTATTTCTCTGGTATCTCTCTGGTCTCTCTCCGGTATCTCTCTGGTCTCTCTCTGGTCTCTCTCTGGTCTCTCTCTGGTCTCTCTCTGGTCTCTCTCTGCTCTCTCTCTGCTCTCTCTCCGGTCTCTCTCTGGTCTCTCTCCGGTATCTCTCTGGTATCTCTCTGGTCTCTCTCTGGTCTCTCTCTGGTCTCTCTCTGGTCTCTCTCTGGTCTCTCTCTCTCTGGTCTCTCTCTGGTCTCTGTTGTGCTTCATTGTTATTGTATCATTTATATTTACATTGTCATATTTCGCTCTAAGTCTGGGCTCAAAATTGTTTAGGTTCATTTTGGAGAAGCTATGACATCATCAGTTGGGGAGCTATGACATCATCAGTTGGGGAGCAATGACATCATCAGTTGAGAAGCTATGACATCATCGCTCACATGTCACGGCCGGTCGCGTTCGGTTAGGTTCAGTCTCAAACTCAGATCTCATCCCTCAGACAAAACTACAGTTGTCAAGATCCAATTTCAAGTCCTGAACGAAGTCAGACCTCTGAAGCTAAGCAGGGCAGGGCCTGGTTAGTGCTGTGATGGGAGACCTCTGGGAACACCAGGTGCCACAGTGGGGCGGCTGTGGCTGTAAAGTGCCAAACTGTGGTTGTGTCCTTAGGCAAGACACTTCCCCCACACTAGAATGAGTCTGGTGTGTGTGTGAATGGTTGGTGGTGGTGGGAGGGGCTGATGGCACAGACTGGTTGCCTCGCTTCTGTCAGTGTGCCCCAGGGCAGCTGTGCCTACTGTTGTTTATCACCACCGTGAAAGAATGATGATGTGAAGAGACTTTGAGTGTCCTGAAAAGCGCTGTATAATTAAACTTATAATAATGTATACATTATTACTAGTATTATTATTGTGTGTGTGTGTGTCTGCATATGTGTGTGTGTGTGTGTGTGTATGTGTGTGTGTGTGTGTCTCTGTGTGTGTTTGTGTGTATGTGTGTGTGTGTCTGTGTCTGTATATGTGTGTGTGTCTGCATATGAGTGTGTGTCTGTATATGTGTGTGTGTGTCTGTATATGTGTGTGTGTCTGCATATGAGTGTGTGTCTGTATATGTGTGTGTGTCTGTCTGTCTCTGTGTGTGTCTCTCTGTATGTGTGCGTGTGTGTGTGTGTGTGTCTGTGCCTGTACTTGTGCCTCTGTGGGACGGTGAAGGGCACTCTGGGAGGCCGCTCTGTGAGGCTGAGACGGCGTGAGGCTGAGACGTTGTGACAGCCGCGGCGCCGGAGCAGGACGCGGTGATGAGTGACACGAGCTTCAGAGACGGTTTTGTGTTCGCAGCTTTGATTTCACTCTCAAGGATTTTAAAATGGTGGAATTTAGACGATAAATACGGAAGAAGTCATTTATGAATCTGACTCTTTTAGAAACATGTGTCGTCAAAAGGACACGGTCAGAGACACCTGTGTGTGTGACATCACCTCCGGTGTGTGACATCACCTTTTATGTGTGACATCACTTCAGCCCCAGAGTTACAGAGGGCAGAACCGCACTGCTGAAGAAATCACTGTGTCTGTGTGTGTGTGTGCGCGTGTGTTTGAGTGTGTGTGTGTATGTCTGTTTTTGTGTGTGCGTGTGTGTATATCTGTGTGTCTGTGTGTGTGTGTGTGTGTGAGCGTGTGTTTGTGTGTGTGTGCGTGTATGTGTCTGTGTCTCTGTGTGTGTCCTTTACTAATGTCCTGTATCGAGTTGCAGTGTCTGAATGTATTTGCACTTTTTACCCAGAATGCTGTGTGTCAGCAGAGTCTGCAACACACTGTGTTTGAACCTGACACACACACACTCACACAGACACACACACACACACACACGCACGCGCACACACACACACACTCCTGTTCTTTGCCTTTGAACGCCACATGTACCAAGAACCAAAGAAAAAAGAGAGAAAGATTCAGAGTCAGTTTATTTGCATTTACTCTCTCTGGTCTCTCTCTGGTCTCTCTCTCTGGTCTCTCTCTGGTCTCTCTCTGGTCTCTCTCTGGTCTCTCTCTCTGGTCTCTCTCTGGTCTCTCTCTCTGGTCTCTCTCTGGTCTCTCTCTGGTCTCTCTCTCTGGTCTCTCTCTGGTCTCTCTCTCTGGTCTCTCTCTGGTCTCTCTCTGGTCTCTCTCTGGTCTCTCTCTGGTCTCTCTCTGGTCTCTCTCTCTGGTCTCTCTCTGGTCTCTCTCTGGTCTCTCTCTGGTCTCTCTCTGGTCTCTCTCTCTGGTCTCTCTCTGGTCTCTCTCTGGTCTCTCTCTGGTCTCTCTCTCTGGTCTCTCTCTGGTCTCTCTCTGGTCTCTCTCTCTGGTCTCTCTCTGGTCTCTCTCTGGTCTCTCTCTGGTCTCTCTCTGGTCTCTCTCTGGTCTCTCTCTCTGGTCTCTCTCTGGTCTCTCTCTGGTCTCTCTCTCTGGTCTCTCTCTGGTCTCTCTCTGGTCTCTCTCTCTGGTTTCTCTCTAGTCTCTCTCTGGTCTCTCTCTGGTCTCTCTCTCTGGTCTCTCTCTCTGGTCTCTCTCTGGTCTCTCTCTGGTCTCTCTCTCTGGTCTCTCTCTGGTCTCTCTCTGGTCTCTCTCTGGTCTCTCTCTGGTCTCTCTCTGGTCTCTCTCTGGTCTCTCTCTGGTCTCTCTCTCTGGTCTCTCTCTGGTCTCTCTCTGGTCTCTCTCTGGTCTCTCTCTCTGGTCTCTCTCTGGTCTCTCTCTGGTCTCTCTCTGGTCTCTCTCTGGTCTCTCTCTGGTCTCTCTCTGGTTTACTAATTGAGCTGATATTGATTAGTCCTGAAACTGGAATACATTAACACTGCATTAAAGAGGGAAGAGCCATAGGGTCTGCCTCTGCCTCACCGGAGCCACAGCAGCCTCCTCTTCCTCACCTTCATCACCTCCAGACCTGACTCCTGCAGCAGCCTCCTCTTCCTCCCCTTCATCACCTCCAGACCTGACTCCTGCAGCAGCCTCCTCTTCCTCCCCTTCATCACCTCCAGACCTGACTCCTGCAGCAGCCTCCTCTTCCTCACCTTCATCACCTCCAGACCTGACTCCTGCAGCAGCCTCCTCTTCCTCACCTTCATCACCTCCAGACCTGACTCCTTCAACCTCTTCCTCCTCCATGGTCTCCTGTCCACTCCTCTCCAAAAACTGCCACATATAAATACCTCCCCCTCCTGTCTGCACCAGAGAGCACATCACCCCTGTTCAGTGCTTTAAGTGGGCCGGTACGCAGCTCTTGGGCCGGTACGCAGCACTTGGGCCGGTACGCAGCACTTGGGCCGGTACGCAGCTCTTGGGCCGGTACGCAGCACTTGGGCCGGTACGCAGCACTCGGGCCGTACGCAGCACTTGGGCCGGTACGCAGCACTTGGGCCGGTACGCAGCACTCGGGCCGTACGCAGCACTTGGGCCGGTACGCAGCACTTGGGCCACTTTCAT